TAATAAAAACAGGAAGTAATCACTGAGCGTCCATCTGCTGAGGAACTGTCAGAGACAAGCTGAGTCAAACAGTAGTATGTTTGAAGTTCATTTTAATAAGTATACTATAGGTTTAAGTATATCAAGTATACTAGACACCATGTATTTGTAGTGTACTACACAGTATACTGATTTAATACTTGTCCGTACTAAATTGGGACTTTTTAAAAGTTTATAAAAAGTATACTTTATATATACTGTTATGTCTTTTTTAGTTTATAAACAAACAGAAGTACACTTTAAGTACATGTCATTAAGTATACCAATGTATATAAAAGTGTAATTCTCTAAGTGTACTTTTATTTACCATGTACAATGATGTAAGTATACTAGCAGTTTACTAACAAGTATACTTCTAGGACTGAATTGGCCCACAATAAATTTTTGAAAGTAGACTCAGAAGTACACTGAAAGTAATCTTCTAAGTATACTTTTAGTTTAATCTTGAAATATACTACAAAAAAAACCAGTCTGTGACTGTTTCAGTGTACTACTAAAGTTTATCTTGGCTAAAAGTTTAAACATTAGTACAGACTAAGTATACTTAAACTTTTAGCATACTTTTATAAGCCAAGTAAAGTGTAAGATAAACTTACTAAACTTATCTCAAGATTCAAGATTCAAGTAGTTTAATTGTCAATACTTCATACGTGCAAAACATACAGAGAATTGAAATTGTATTACTCTCTTTCCCAGTTACAACATTAAACAAGTAATCAACAGAAATTGCACAATCCACACATTGTAAATAAACAAAAAAGCGACAATAAATGTGTAATCCAATATGGACACAGATACAGATGAATTTGTGACATCAACACAAACATAACAGGTAATGGAGGGGACCTCAGTAGGGCAAAAATAAATATCTTTTTACAAGAAAAAGTTGAATATTGTAATTATAGTGGATTAAAAGCTTAATGCTGATCTAAAGCTCTGCAGGTGACGTGCATTCAGCTGCAGCTGAGAGGAGAGCTTCACCCTCCTGTTGATGAGTTCCAGCCTGGTGGTGGTGCTGCCTGCGAACACATCTTTGTCTGAGGAGCACTTGTTTCATCTGAAATATGTCGAGATCATCCAGACATGGATGAAGTGTTTGACCTGTTTTCTGTTAATCCTTTCAGCTTCAGGAGGAAACACTTTTTATTATTAGATTTAAAATGTTTCAGCTGTTTAGAATCATTTCTCTGTCCTCTGACGTGTGTCAGCTCTGATGATGACACAACAGTGACTGATGTGTTACAGTGTCGACCACAGAGCTGCTTGTTGTTGTCAGACAGGGAGGGGTGGGGGAGGGGGGCAGGAACAGCTGAGGATCTGATTTCAGCAGCTAAAACTGAAGCGGACTGAACCATGTCTCTGCAGGGGGGGGGGGGGGGACACACCGACACCACGTCTGAGCCCACCACGGCTCCACACCTGGCTTCAGTTCTCTCCTCGTCACCCGTCAGAACTGAATCTGTAGGAATCAGTCCAGATCAGGGCGGGGGTTTGGGACCAGCACCGCCTGCAGGCACCACCTCCCCCCCTACTGGTGCCTGAGGATGGACCGGTCCAGTTCTTTATCCAGGATCTGAGGAGGAGGCAGAGCCACATTCACTGCTGATCAGAGCTGAGTTCACTTCATCCTGCAGAGTCAAACCTGAGGAACCCCAGCCCCAAGTCAGAACAGAGACCCCCAAAGCCCCGCTGCACGCCTCACGGGTCACGGGTCACGGGTCAGAACTGTGAGGAGCTGCCTGACACCCAGCCAGGAGCAGAGAGGTAGAGGGGTGTGACAGGGGGCAGCCAGACCAGCAGACAAGCTGCTGCTGCAGGGGGAGGACGAGCGGGCGATGCACCAGCCGAGGCCAGAGGTCAAAAAGAAACGAGAGAGAACCGTAAAGAGGTAGACTCTGAGCAAGACCAGGGTCGTTTGTGATCCGAGTCAGAACCCCAGCCTCTCTTTGTTCAGGCCACAGAGCGGGGAGGAGGATGTGAAGGAGAGCAGGGGGGCCGAGGAGGATCAACCAGAAGAAATGCTCTCAGAGATCATGTGCAGGAGGATCTTCCAGCAGCACAGGCAGCAGGAGGAGGTCGGCCTCCGCAGGAAGAGCTGCAGCGGGCGCCTGCAGGGGCGGAGGACAGGGGGGGGCGGGGGGCCCAGGGGGCGCAACCCCTTCCAGCGACATCACCACCATCACCATCATCAGCGCCCCCTGATGAAGGGGCTGTCCCTACGTCCCGTCAACGTGAAGGGTTTCAGAGCCAGGGGGATGCAGGCCCCCAAAAACACCAACCAGTTCCTGATGCACGAGAAGTACCAGATGCAGCACCTGAGGTCCGACTCGGTGGGCAGCGACGGCAGCTGCAGCTCCGACAGCGACGACCTGGAGCTCACCGACATGGACTCCTACCTGGGGGTCCTGGAGAACGCGCGGGGGGCCCTGCTGGACAGTCCGACGCACGACTCACCGGAGCCCCCAGAGGAGCTGCTGGTACTGCACCGGGTCAGTCCCCGTCCACACCGGGACTGTCCTTTCCTGCAGGAGGACAGCATGCAGTACTTCCCCTCCGAGGACGACCTGCTGCAGAGCCAGAACTTCATGCAGAGGGACTTTGTGGAGTTCTGTGACTTCCTGTCAAACTGAACCGGGTCAGGTTGGTTCTGAGTCGTGTTTATTGTAAATAAAATAAATAAAAATACCTCTTTTCTGACGAATCATTTAGCCTTAACTCTGGAAGGATCAAATGATTTCACCAGTGTCCAACAAAAAAAAAAAACTTTTTTAAAGTATTTGTGTCATTTTTTTTAAAACAAACACAAGATTGAAGCGTTTTAAGGGAAATTGTTGTATTTTTGTGACCACATGTTGTGTTTTTGTGCTGTAAAGTGCCTCTTTATGCTGTTGTTGTTCACAAAAAGAAAAGGGCTGGATGGTGGGAGTGAGACCAAACAGCCAATCAGCATCGACCTGGCCCGATGAGGCTGCAGCTTATTGGCTGACAGAGACTGTCAATAACAGAGGAGCCATTTGCTGTGTGATGGTAAAAATAAATAAATGTTTGATGAAAACTGAGCTGAGTGATTGTTTCTATGGATTTAAACAAGATCAGAGTGAAAAACATAAAAAGACAACACTTTATTTAAAGATAAAATAAATTAGTTTGATTTAAAACAAATTAGCTCAAGATATTAAAGCATAGATAACAAAAATCATAGCATGACATAATCTTTAGACAGTTTATGCTCAGTTTAGCTGATTAAATCATTTTAAAATAAATTAATTTATCTAAAGAGTAAGATTTGATTCATGCAGGTTTTACATCACTGATTGTAGTAGTAGTAGTAGTAGTTCGTTATTCATTTCATTTGTAACACAAATTAACAAAGTACAGAAAAACATGCAATCAAAATAAAATCAAATAAAATGAAAGGATGCAGAAGAAGAATAAATCTTATAATATCTGCCCCATTTTTATACCCAAAATGTGTTCAAAAGAAAAGTAAAAATACAACAAAAATCAAAACAACTTAAAACATTTAAAAATGAATTAAAAATAAAAAAAGACTACAATTCAATAAACAATTAACATGAATTCACTTATAATTCTCCATATTTCTTCAGAATACAGATTTTATCATTCTCTTCAATACATACAAGGATCTGTCATTTTAAACCTCATCTTCCAGGCTGTTCCATAATCTTATTCCCTGGATTAAAGTGCATCTCTCCTTCAGGCTCGTACACAAACCAGGGTTTCATAAACATTTCACTTCCTTTAAAATAATAACAGCTCTCTATTTTAACAAAATTTACCTGAATGTTGGAAGGTAACACACCTTTATGAGCTCTGTACGTTAATAGTAAAATATTACAATCAACCAAATCATAAAATTTTAATAATTTCAAATCATGAAACAATATATTCGATGGATGGCTGTAATTTTTTCTAGTAATAACTCTTATAGCTCTTTTCTGTAAAATGAAAATAGGATTTGTGATAGTTTTACATGCTTTACTCCAGACTTCAATACAGTAAATTAAATGAGGAACAGTTATAGCGTTATACAACATAAACAGTGATTTATCATTGAACAGTTCTCTTACTTTGTACAGGACTCCAATTGATTTGGCCATTTTTGTTCTTAAACCATTTATATGATGTTTCCATGTCAGTTTTTCATCAAAAATGACACCTAGAAACTTCACTTCACTGACTCTAAACATTTCAACATAATCAATTTTAAATGAAACAACTATAGTTCTCTCATTGTTACAGAAAATCATATAATTTGTCTTACCCAAGTTTAATGATAATTTATTAAGTTGAAACCAACTTTGTATTTTCACAAATTCTGTCTGTATCATGTCCAACATTTATTCTATAACTTTACTGGAACAAAAGAATGTTGTATCATCAGCAAATAGGATCCGACACATTTACCAAATCATTCACATAGAAAATAAATAACTTAGGTCCAAGAATGGAACCCTGAGGCACTCCACATGCGATGTTACAATACTGAGATCTTACATTATTTATTTGTACAAATTGTTTTCTATTTTCCAAATAACTAGATACCCATTGTAATGCAAGTCATCTAATACCATATTTATTTAACTTTTCAAAAAGAATACTATGATACTTAATAGTATCAAACGCTTTTTTTTAAATCAACAAAAATACTGACACAGTACTGTTTTTGATCAACAGCAGTTGTTATATGTTCTATTCTGTTTAACATAAAACAATAAAGTGAAACCGGAGGGCCAGAGGTTGGCCGTGTTCCTGCTGGTAGTTTAATTAGATTATGTAAAGTGGGCTAATCACAGCTGTAAGCCTCTTTCTGTTGATAACGGTGCCGAAGTGAAGCAGCAGATCCAAAACTCTGATTCTGAAGGAAAATGAGGCAACAGGAAGTGCATTAATCTATGTTGAATCAGGACTAATATTCAGATTTAGGGGCTGACTCGCCATCTTGGATGATGATGTTTTAAACAGGAGTTAGCTCTCAGCTGCTACTACGATAATGCTGCGTTCCAGTTGTCCTCGGAGGTCGCAGCTTCGACCTACAAGTTCTATTTTTCAACTGGAACGCCCCCTGAAGTCGTAGTTTTGAGTCGAGAGGTCAGCGCATCCAAACCATACCCGAGCAGCCCGAGCATGCGTTACGTCATCATTCATTCGTCATCGTCAACATGGCTGCTGCGTGCATGAAACTGTCAGCAGTCGCGCTTTCATTAGCATGTTTCTCTAAGCTAATGGCTAATGTTGAGCTGTAATCAAACGTACACAAGCACCATCCCCATTATTTAACAGACAGAAAGTACAAAGAGAGGAGGCAGAATAAAAACGAGTGTAATTTATTTGTTTATTTTCCATTTTTATACTTGTTGAATGTATGTAGCGTACTAACATGCTTGTCCGAGCTAACCGCTAACGTTGCTACTCTTGCATGTAAACAAACATGGCTTTTCTGTGTTGTTTATTTTACATTACGTCAGACGTACTTGTAGTGCTTTACAGTGATGGTTAAAATATATGTTTTAACACTGTTTGTACACTCAAAATACTTCGTAGAGCACTATTATTTTACGTTTTATAGTTGCAGAGCAAAATAATAAACGCTTTTTCCGATGTTTAAAACTGGAACGCTGTCAGCTTCAGAATTTCGAGTTCCGATACAACTGGAACGCAGCATAAATTTCAGCTTATCTACATAACTGACATTAGCCATTTTAGCTGTGGCAGCCATCTTGAATCCAGGGTACATCCTGCCTAAATAATGTCAAACTTCATCAACATTCATAACTAAAAACCTGTTTCTTAGTTTTTCTGACAGTTTGTTTGAGGATTTGTGAACATTTTGTAGGAAGCGTTTCAGTAAAATGTACAGGAAGTGGATTTAGACGCAGAGCAGAAACAAGACAGGACTTCCTGCCAGCAGCTCCTCAGTTTGACCTTTGACCTGCAGAGAGGATCACACACACACACACACACACACACACACACACACACACACACA